ATTATTTCTGTTAGAAACGCTGCAGCTTGTTAAGAAAGGGGCAGAAAAGTCCTTCTCTGTAAATTCTTGATCATCGCATTACAATTCTGAGCCATTTATGAAATATTCCATCATTTAATTTACAGCTTGTGTCTCTCCATGTGGGCTCTGATTACAGAATCATCAATTATTATACATTATTAGCCCCGTGATGAACCAAGTGCTTTTTTTTTTTTTTTTTTTTCTGCCTTCCCCAAAATAATGCCATTAGTTTCTTCCTCATTATCTCCTTTTCCTTCTAATTGCTGACAGGCAAACTGGAAAACCTTCTACTCAATCATCTTACTCTTCCTCAACAGTGAGAATTTCAGGCAGACTCTGTAACAATCCTTCTGCCTTCATCTAGCGCTATCAAGTTGCACCGACAGGTTTTTCAATGTGGCATTATCAGTAAAATGTTTTGTCATCCCTGATTGTAGTTCTGTATGGAATTAAATCAACAGAATAATTTCAACAAGTCCAGCCCTTTGGTGCATGTCTAGAATCATAGAATGGCTCCATATCTAATACTAGACCAGGCTGCCCAGCTGGCCTTGGGAATGCAGGTGAAGATAGTGAGTAGATCTACAAAGATTTGCCTCAAAGAAGGGTCTGAAATGCCATGAATAAATTATATCCTTTGCCCTGTATTGACTGGGAGTAAAGCAGCCAAATCCTGAACAATTTCCCTCTAGAAAACTATGAACACTTATTTTATTTTTTTCCTCAGCATGACTTAATAACTTCTCTTAAATTTGTTTCGGTGGATCTAGGTTTTCTGTGAACTAAGAGCTCTGAACACTTCTGCTTTTAGTTTCTGAGCAAGTTATTTTAGTTCACTTTGTTACTTTAATATAGGATTCACTGTGCTCATTCATTTTCTGAATCCACAGACTGCTGTTCTCCTGGAGCAATCAAAAGGAAGCCAACAGTTCCACCTGGCAGGAGCACAAGGCTTTAGAGGTCTGCCTGTTTACAGAGCTCTGAGTGTTTTTGAGAGGTTTACAATTTTCTCTCTAAAACTTTGAGATAAAATAATACACCTTGTCTTAGGGAATTTTGGGAAGGAGAAAGATGCTGATCACCCTTCGTAGAGAAAATTTAAATTTTTCTTGCCAGAATCCTGTTTTATTACAGAGATTTGTGTTCAATGATTGACAGAACTCGTGATAAACCTAAATACAAGATATTGTGAAGCCACATGGTATTTCTTACTAGCAGAAATGAAAATAAACCTGAAATTGCAAATATTCCCTCTTTGAAAAAGCATTATTCCTGGTTCTACATCTCTAAATTTTCTTCTAAATTTTCTAGATCTCTTCGATGGAAATAAATGAGCAACATAAAGACTTTCCACAAAGAAAACTGTCCTCATAAAGTAGATGGTAAGAGTGGTGCCCTGCTCCAGCTGGAGAAAGGGAAATGCACAAATGCAAAATACACTGACCTGCACCATTGCTACCCATTAGAAAACCTTACGTGTATGAGTGTTTTGCAACAAATAGTTTGAAGTTGGGATGAGTTTACCTGTCACTGCTTTATTTTTAAATGCAAGCCATCCAGAACCACTGAGCTCTAACTACAGACCAGCACTTTAAAGTATCTTCATGTCAAAAAAGAAAGACATTCTAGAACTGGGGGCAAGGAGAGCTTTAAAACCCAAATGTTCCAGTGGTCAAGAGCTTCTGGAGAACATCAGAGACGAGAGGTATAAACAAAAGTTGCTGGAAGTGGCAGCATCTGCTGTTGTTCATACCCATGACTGTAACTGGAAAATTAGAAATTATGATGATGGCTGCTCTGTTTATAGATTTCACTGAATGTTCTTTGTGATTACATCATCACAAATAAATTCCCATCTCCTTCGGTTATCTCCTTCAGTTATCCCTCTGAGTAGCTCAGAAAATGTTGAGCTACATGGCAGGGGTAAGCAGAAACACACTTTTTTTTATGTTACAGCAGAATTGAGAGAAACCTTTACAAAAAAACAATCCTGAAAAAATGATTTGAAGAGAAACGATCCAAGTTGAGAAAGCGTTCTTGTCACACATACGTCAGTCAGACTTAACAGCTCGGTGAGGTCTGTGAGTGTTGCCTGCCAGAAGCTGAAGAGGTTAATTGAAAAATTGGTTTGAAAAAATAAATGGTGTGGCTGATCTGATACATCTTAAGCACTGAAACCAAATGGGAGATATGGCTACAACAGGGCACGTAACTGGGATCTCCCTCCTTTAATACCACTTGCCTCTTCCTGTTCAATCAAAGAACAACTTCTGTCAGTCATTCCTCGAGAAAGAAAGCTCAATTTGCTTCTACCCAGAAGAGGGAGGTAACATACAGATATTTGCAATGTATTTGCCTAAAAGAAAATCAAAGAGGTAAAGGAAAGCTGCATTCAAGGATTAAACACATAAACAAATGTGTTTGTGTATCTCAAAGAAGCAACATATGAAGGAAGACTTTTGAATTAAAATATTTTTGAAAGGGATGGAGAATCAGGCAGCAATGGAAAGCAGAACTACCAAGGTATTATCCATTCAAAGGCAAGAACGTGCATGAAAATGACTACTAAATCCATTGTCACAAATGTCTTTGAGATCAGTGAAGCGAAGATATTTAGTGAGTTGGCACTGCTCAAAACCTACTAATCTCCATGAACAGCCTGAGATTCAAAGCAAACCAGAGAGCAACCCTTTGTTAATCATAATAAAGAATTTGCTGTATTCAAATGAAGTTACAGCAAAGTGGATGCGTGCCAGTGCAACACCAGTGTTCCAAGAGAAAGGCAAGCTAGGAAATTATAGACCCTTCATCTCAATGCCTGCAATTTGCAAAATAAAGAATACAACAGAGGAGTAAGTTTGCAAAATGCATGTGCAAATGCAGTATCATTCTCTGTAATCTAGTTGCAGAAAACTAGTAGGGATAGATGGTGTTGGTTAACTAATCTTTTTTAAACAACTGTGCAGCGCTTTTGTCATTAAACTTAAAATACTCAAATAATAATTCATATGGCACCTAATGCTCTGTGGTAGAAGAGGTTAATTCTCTGCCAAAAGCAAAATATCTTTTTCTGCAAGGTGAACTTTCTGATACAGTAAAAAAGAGGTAATCTAGATCCCAAACATTAAAGTCTGGGTTTGCAGCCAACCAAATTTCCGAGCAGAAGGGCAGTGTGACCACAGACGTAGAAGTACAGAATAAAAAGGATCCAAATATTTTATCGGAAGCTGTATCCAGACATCTTCAGGATATTTAGCTATGTCATGAGTAACTTGTGGCCTCCCATTGAGGGGTATGATGCCCTTTTGGTTACCTACTTTTCCTCTGTCCCAGTAAACTCTACCAAAGAGTTGTGTTCAAGGGAAAAATATAGCAGAAAATAAACATTAGAAACGAATTTTTTTGTTTCATCAGCTCTGCTTTCCCTAAGTGCCTTACAGCTCCTCTCTTTCCAACGGCTTGACCCCTCTTAGCCTCCTCTGAGGCTTCCTCTTTTGCTGTCCTTCCTCTGTGACTATAGACAGACATCTTTCCTTTCTGTGTCCTCCGTCTCTACATTGTATTTTATTCTTTTTTTCTGCTTTGAGATTGTTTATCTAAGTAACGTGTTCCAAATGATTAACTCAGCCAAAGCAGTAGATGCTTCATTAAGTTGTAGCTCAAGAAAGACTCATTATCTCTCCATCTACATCAGACTTGTTTCCACTTTCTGACCCACCAGAGGCAGGTGGCCTGCGGGGCTGCTGGGCACAGCCTTTCCTCCAGCCCAGCCTCCCCCTGTGCCTCCCACAGCAGAGCCTGCAGCAGCAGCAGCTCATTCAAATTCTAACAAAAAAAAAAAAAGTTTATACACAAATAAGTTTGTACTGTAAACACTGAAAAAGAACTCTTTGTATCTATAACACTTTCCGTACCCGCAAGGTTTCCTTCTTGCCCACACAAATCACTCATTACAATGCAACACACCACTAACAGAGGAAGCCAGCAAAGCAGGATCCTTCTGATGCTTCTAAACAGAATGTTGCACTTGAAAATGTAATCAGAAAAACTCTACACAAATGCTTCAGAATTCAATGTTTTCATTGCATGAGATTGACCCTCCCAGGACTACGCCAAAGCCCCCAGCAGCCAGGGAAATCAGTGAGACGCAGCACGGCTGGGTTGGACTGCAGCACTGTGGGAGCTGAACTTGCCACAGCTGTGGCCGTGCCGTGCCCTCAGGAAGTGTATCTCCCCCAAACCCACAGCATGTTCCATGTCATGTGTTTACATGCGTGTTATGTCCATAAAGCACCTCACTACGAGGCTACAAACTGCCCCAATCTAAATGAGATCATAAGCTGAACTTCCCAGTTTTAGCTTGAAAATCACAAGACGTGCGCGAGCCAAGCTTTGGTCATTGTTTGTATTTGCTGACTGCTGAACTGTTTGTTTATATCGACTTCCCAAACTTTTCTTTTTTTTTTTTTTTTTCCTCGCAGAGGAGAGTTACAAAGGTTCTATTTGGGTGGTTTACTGAAGGAAGCTGAAAGTCTTACACAACCCTGGCTCCATTAACTGGGGCTTTCAGATGTTTATTTATAACCAATTATAAAACCGACTCCGGCCAACAACTGAGCAGCGGTTCGCCGAGGCGCAGTGCGTTGGGGCCAGGGCGCATCTCGGCCCTCACCGCCGCCATAGCGTAGGAAATGCGCAGATATGTCGCGGGGGCCTGCACCGAGGGAGGGGGGTAGGGCGGGCACAGCCGCCTCTGAGGGAGCCCAGGGCCCGGCTCCAAGGCGGGTACACCCGCTCCGGATGCCCGGCAGCCGCCTCTGCCCGCGGCAGGGGTCTACCCGGCAGCCGCCGCCATCCCGCGGCGCCGCCGCCTGCCCTCAGCGCGTCCCACACAGCGCGCGCGGCGGGCGGGAATGGCGGAGCGCGCTGACAGGGCCGCACAAGTTGACGGGCCGCGCTCTGCCGGCGGGAGGAGGAATCTGAGGCAAAAGCCGAACAGGATCGCGGGCGGGAGCATGGATCGAGGGCTGCGGGGGCTCGCCGGGCCGTCGGGCGGCCAGGGACAGCGGTACGGGCGGCGGGGAGGGGACACGCGTGGGAAAGGCTGCGCCTCGACGCGGAGCGTGCGGCGGCGGGAGGCTGCGGGCTGATGGCCGAGCGAGGCGGCTGCGTCCGCGCCTCGCAGCCCGTGAGGGGGGGTGGGTGCCCTCTGAATGGAGGAGAGGGGCAGGGAAATCCAAAGCCAAAAATCTGGAGTGCCGCTATCAAAGAAAAGGGTCCATCTTCAAAAATTAAACATTGATGTGAATAAAACGATACTATCTTAATATAGTAAGCAATGCGATCAAAATTAAAATATGTCTGTTGCTTAATGTGTGGGGTGGAGTATTTTCATTGGTGACATCGAGGGACAGCTATATAATGACATACTTTCCTTGGTTCCACCAGATTCACTGTGGAGTTTCCATGTAAAAAGTGAGTCTGTAAGTACTGCTTTGTGCCGTCCTGTAATATTTTAGGTTGGATATCAGGGAAAACTTCTTTACAAAAGGGGTTGTTAAGCACTGGAATAGGCTCTCCAGGGAGGTGGTTGAGTCACCATCCCTGGATGTGTTTAAAAACCATTTGGATGGTGCTCAGGGACATGATTTAGCAGAGGGCTGTTAGAGTTAGGTATGGTTAGGTTGTGGCTGGACTTGATGATCTTGAAGATTTTTTCCAACCTGAGCAATTCTATGATTCTAGTCATGTTTTCATGAGTGCTCGATCTCATTTGTTCATTCTGAAAGGAGCAGCTAGTTATTTTCTTTGTAATTGCTACCTCTGCAAATTCAGTGTTGACTGAGGATCAAGCTAAGTTCTTTGACACTTCACTGAGAAAGAGGAAGTTGACGTCCCAATCTTGCAATTTTTAACATGTTTAATTTAACCTACCAGTGAAGTTCCAACTAGATTACAATGACAACACTTACTTAAAATAACATTTGAATACTACCATCATTCCTTTTCTATATGCATCCTTTATATTCTGGTGCAATTTTAGGAATCATCATTCACACGCTGCTGTTGTGCTTGGGTGAGCACAGACCACTTTAAAATCCCCCAAAAGATTTTTGTGTAAAATGCATATCCAGATAGAGACATTTCTTTCTTGTATGCCACAGACATTTGCATGCAAGGCCTATATTTTCCATGTTTCTATTCTCATTGTGGATAGGTTTTTTTTATTGCTTTTGTCCTGTGCTGATTTTGTTAAGAAAAAGTGGGGGGTTTTTTTTGTTTTTTTTTTGTTGTTTTTTTTTTTTTTTCCTTTCCTTTGATGGTCTCTCTGTACTAGTTAAGAAGGAAAACATTAGTCTTATAATTTTTTTTCAGCTTGGTGGCTGCCCTGTTTTTGTTTTTTTTTTGGTTTTTTTTTTTTTCTGGGAAACAAAGCCTTTTGAGAGATATAAAAGTGTAAGTTTTGTGAAATTACTTGTTGGAATAGTTAATTACAAAAACATTGGTGAGGGGGTTTAAAGAAGCCATACCTTTCTCATCAATATTCATTCCCTCACAGTCCAAGGATGGAACATCCAGAATTCCTTTCCAGACCGGTAAGATTTATTCAGAACTCATAAATGTTTCAGAGCAGTAACCGAGAGGAGCGATGCTTAATAGCTGATGGATTTTGCTGTTTCATTCCAATGCATGTCTGGCATTGGAACCTCCTTCAAGCAAAAAGCATAGCCCTGTCTGCGGGGTGGGATTTTACTGCACAACAGCCAGACACAGAAGTGACCTTGTGCTCCCCACTCAGTTGATGATTGGGGCAGAGGGATGTCACAGAAGCGATGATTGTGCTCATTGAAAAGGGGGTCAGAAGGTTGCCACCTCTCCTTTCAAGCAGCATCTGGTAGAAAATTTTCCGCCTAATATTGTCAATCATTCCCTTGTTCTTGAAGGTGCCTGACTGTCCTCCCAGCTGGAGTGAGAACTTCAGTGATCACTATAAAGCAAAACAAATGCAAAGTTTAGAAAGGGGGTGTGGAGAAGGCAGGTTCCCAAAGAAAGAAGTTGGCAGGGTCTCAAATGCCTGGGATTATGAGAGAAGTGGAATGCACGTGATTAGTGCACGTGCTGGTCTGAATACTAAGGCTCAAACAAATAGATTTGTTGCACACTAAAAAATGAGAAGTGACTACTTGAGCAGGTTGTGTTTTGAAAAATGTGATTAAGTGAGCAGAAAATTGAGGGCTTCTTAGCACCAATTGGTGCTAGGCTTTTTTAAAGGCGAGGGAGTGAAGCATAGGATTGGTCTGGGGAGGAGGTGGGAGCAGAGGGGATCTTGCCTCTAGTGATAAGAAAAAGCTGGCATTAACAGACAAAACTATTCAGAGACTAAAGAAAATAAACCAAGAAATGCATTCTTTCTTTATGGTTGGGGGGGGGGGGGCGGGGAGGGGGGCAGCAGGGGGAGGGCGGAAGAAGAAGAAATCAGAATGCCAAGGTGAGGATTACAGGCAATCCAGCAAAATACACTGTGGAATGTCTGCACACTGCTGCTGTCAGCCCTGCTCAAGCACACCCTTTACCAGTGTCTGTGTGCAGCAAGTAGTGCTTGGTGCTGCTGGCTGATGGCCCTGATGGAAACAGGTCTGGGACCAGCAGATGAGGTGGTCACAGAACAGTGCCTTCTTGAAGCCTTGAGGAGGAACTTGTGGTTTTCCAAGCAGAATAGACTCCCCAGCTTTGTGTCAGGCAAGCTTTGCTTGCAGTCATGATCAGGGTATAAAGTAGCAGAAGCTGAATAAAGCAAAATGTCAAATATTTTAGTAAATAATTATATAAGAAGAATACTTAGGTAAAAGGTGGACTCTATAAAATGTATGTTAAAAGTATATATAGTAAGAAAACTCCACCGGACTTTGATCAGTGTAGACTACTTGTGTCGGTGCCAGGGAAAATCAGAATTTTCCTGTGGCTGGTGCATAGGGCTGCCCACTGGATTTACTGGAAGAAATTAAATGACTATTATTCAGTACAGCCTGAAAGCTGACACTTGTAATTGACTTCTGCAGATAATTCTAGAATAACTTGTGGAGGAAAGATACCTGTTGATGGAATTGTTTTTCATGGCTTTCTGTGGTGAGATACTCACTACTTCCGTTGGAAATGTGAACTGATTGCTAAGATTTGAGGCACAGAAGCATCTGAAACATTTCTTCTGTTTTGGAAAGCTGTATACATGAAGAGAGTGTCAATGTGCACATTAACTTTTAATAAGCTAGGAAATCATTGACATGTAAACAGTTACTGCTACGGCCAGAGCCTGCAGTTCTGTCAGAGGCATGTTATGCTGTAGTCCAGTCAGCAGATTACTGTTTAGTTAAGTGTTACCATATTATCCTGTGTATCACAAGGATTTTACTAGGTGGCAGGATGTGGCTATGGGCCAGAATTGTTCAGCAGTTCATCTCAAGTGCTAAGACTGAGTCTGAAGGGAAAAAAATGTAATGGGCAATAGCGGATTATGGTTTGTGTTTGCCTCTTTCCTGTCTGTGAACGTAGCAGGGTAAAGATACCGCAGAGTCCCGTATCTAGGGCTCGCTGTCCTTTGAAAAACTTTCTTCAGAAGTTAACTCCTGTGGGAAGTGCTGAAAGGGCAATTCAGGTTCAGCTGCAGTTCTATTCATGCTGCAAGTCAGACAGACTGGAAGAAATTGAACATTTCAGTCATTTCTATCGTTTGTATCAAGTACTGTAAGAGAAGTTATTCTTACTACTGCTCCAACCTGGCACGCCTGGGAAGTGCTAGAAGTCTTTTAACCGATCTGTTACAGAGTTGTCAACACTGGCTTCTTGTCTCATGTGCTAACCCAGCAGGAGTAAAAAGCATTAGCAGCTCAGCTGACTGATCAAAAGTCAGTGTTCTTTGAGCCCCTTCTTGGGATTGCCCTGCCTGTCTGCCCAGTGAACTCTGGACTTCCTTTTCCCTCCCAATCCCTAAAGTATTTTGCCTCCTCTTCCCCCACGGGGATTTGGTGACACTCTTCCCCTTTACCCTGCCCAGTGTTTCCAGGGTTTGTCTGCATTCCTGCTGTGCCTTGAGAAAGCTGCAGGACCATCGCCTATGGAGTCCTGAGAGGAGGAGGTGGTGCGCTGGATGATGGAGCAACCTCTGCACAAGGAGAAACACCACATCTGGCAGGCAGGCAGGCAGGCCTAGTCTTTGCTGTGTATCCCTAAGGACTTTTCTCTCTTCTGCCACTATGCTCCCAAAACAGAACCTGGTTAGTAACTGTAGAAACAACTGTTGCAGAACAAACAACTGAAAGGCTGATTGTTGGTTAACAATCCTTTGTGCTCACGCACTGAAACATCTCAGCGAGAGGCATCAGGTCAGCCGTGCCTCGGAAGTAAGCTGACCAGAGGTCTGAGTGCAAAGTGCACATACAGGCTGACTGTGAGGTTTCACTGAAGTTAACAGAGATGTTTGTGCAAGCCTAGCTATATAATAACTGCTTTTTACATGAGATTCTATGGGCTCTGTGCTATTACTTGGGGTGTTCCTGCTAGCACATGTCATCCAATTTTGAGATAATGCATTTGGTTTGTCTATCATCTTATTTTTTATTCTGCTTTTGCTACAATTAAAAGATACAGACCTTGGAAAAACTCAGTGAAGTCTTTCAGGATCCACCCTAGTACATACCAGGTAGGAACAAGACCCTCAGTAACACAGTAATAGTTTAGATAACTGAACATAGGCCACTGCAGAAGATCAAAATTAGATTGTGGTGCTATTCAAATGATTTGAGGATCTTTGAAATGCTTTGAATACTGTGAGGTAATGGAATGATTCTGTCTCTAGAGACCTATGCCTTTGAGGCACAAGCATGAAGGCACTGAGAGTGCCATTTAAAATCATGGTGGAATCTACAATTTAAGGCAAACCTTAAGTGTAATTTTCATCGTATCTTCAACACAGAAATAAAGCTCTGAAGTGTTGGCCCTGTTTTTTTTTTTTTCTCCACAATTCTGTCCTTCCATCGTTACCCTCATAAAACCAGGGCGGACCCTCTCAACAGGTGCCACGTCTGCTGTGACAGCTGCAGCCACACGTGAAGCTTCAGGAGGACGAATTGCCACTGGGGCTGGTGGCAGCACATCACAGCTGTGCGCTGTTCTGCAGCAAGGTCGGCTGAGCCAGCACTGCACAGCCAATAAGGTTGGAAAGCCCAGAAGTGTGGGAAAGCCCACACTTTGCAACGTGTGGGGAAATGCTATGGGAAAACCAGGTACAGTAGGATTTGCTAGTGAATCTGTTACAGATCTTGTCCAGAAATACGTTGTCTCTGAAAACCTGGGAAAGAGGCTGTTTTGTGAAGCCAGGTGGAGAAAATTGAAACAACTTCCCTAGTTAGACAGGAAAAGCATTTTCATTATTTCTGTAAGAATGGTAACTGTATTATCTATAATTTCCTGCCTGCACTGTGTGTCGTATTCCAAAGTGAATAAAAATCATTGTGTTAATTTGTCACTGTCAGAAGTAGTCGTGGAGGCTGGGTTCCATGCTGGTACATTATTTGTGCATGTGGCACGTGAATGTTTCTGTACAGCAAAATTCATGTGGGGACGGGTACTAAACACAGCAAATGGAATTACTGTAATTTGCTTGTAAATGGGAGAGAATATACATATGTAGATATATGTGGCTCAGAAATAGCAAGCAAATAAGACTCAAAACTTAGTCCAAGAAGAAATGGTGAGGAAAAGGATGAAACAATTCTAATCATAATTTAATAGGGTACGTCAGTAAGTGGTGGAGAAGCCTGTAGGAAACGTCAGTAGTTACTGCAATGTCACGAAACTCTCCGTTTTGAAACATTTCTTTCCAAAGTCTCTTTCGTGCCCCAAGGTTCAGTTCCTGCATTTCAGACGCGCGCGAGGAGAGGTGCTCTCCCCTCACCGCCGCCCAGGCCCGAGCCGCCCCAGCTCCGTCCCACACACCGAGGGCTGCCGCTCCCCCCGGCTGCGGGCGGTGCCGGGGCCGGGCCGGGCCGCAGCAGGTGGGCGGCGGGCGGCTGCGGCGCTACGCACGGGAACCCGCCCGCGGCTCCGGGCAGCGCGGCCCCGCGGACGGCGGGAATCCAGTCCGGGTTTTGGTGCCGGGGACCGGCGGCGGCGAGGAAGGGCCGGCGGGAGCGGAGCCCGCACCGCGCCCGACAGCCGGGCCGGCCGGGCAGGGCAGGGCAGGGCGGCGGGCGGGAGC